CTCTCCAGATTCATATGGACTTTCCTGTCAACTAGAAGACAGTTTACCTTCTTGCCTTTGAGAACCATTACATTTGGCTTAAAAACTAGAAAAATAACATTCATTTGTACATGCCGTCTTCTGATACCTTTACAACGTTATACTTTATAAACTCTGTAAAAGATTTGATAAAAATCTCATATATTCTAAAACCTGATATAAAGTGTTTAAGAAATGGACGTGGAATCAGACAATTTCAATTCTGATGTCTCTTCTACTAGGTAGTTGAAAAGGCCTGGGAGACAGCTAACACCTACTACCAGTGTGATTAGGAACAATAGAGAGGCAGATTTATTACCATATTTATATCACAGATCTCCTAGATCAGTCTTTCAATGTGCCCATACCAAGTTATGAATAAAATATCTGAAAATTGTGTGTGAGCTATGCAAAAACAAGTGTTTATCCTTACTGATTGATTGATTTTTTGCATTAAAAAAAAAAAAAAAAACAAAGAAAAATCAGTGGCCTAAATACCCTTTCCATCATCAGCTATCCTGGAGTAATACAAGGTATCTTGTATTGGAGTTAGGACTTTTATTTCCCACTGTAAGAGCATAATACATAATAAGGTTCGGACCTATAATATTAAAGGTAAAACAGGCATCTGTATGCTGATTTGGGAATCTATGGATTTATAAGGTTCCCCTAGGAAAATACTTTTGAGTTCCCATAAGCCAGCATATATGGGTCTTCACAACACTATCCACTTTACCAGTGACTGGTTGTTGGCACCTTCAGGTGAATCTCAGAGTTAACATATTAGGGCTTAAAATATGTACATTATTAAAAACCTTCTTCAGAATGTAATTAATTAAACTATAAAAGCTGGAAGGGGTAAGAGAGTCCAACCCTCTCCTTTTCCAAATAAGGAAACTGAAGCTCTAGATTACACAGGGCATTTGGCAGACCTTGGACTAGAACACAAATGAACCCTAAATCCAGGGTTCTTTGTGGTATGAAGAAGTAAATAATGCTCTGGTAGGTAGGGCTCAGCATTTCTAAAGCTGAAGGCGCTCTTCCAACCATACCTACATTAAGTTTTAAGAGTTTTTGTTTGATTCTTTCCTTAAAAAAAAAAAAAGCAAGCATGGCCCTATAAATGCAACAACAAACCATGAAAAGCAGCATTTGGTGTCAAGCCCATACACTACAACTTATCACATCCAAAACACTACTTTCTGTCTAGCAGGACCATCCCTCATCTCCAGGGGCCACACCACTCACCACACCTTTCTCTACTTTTATCTGCTCAGCCTATTTCTCAGGAACTTCCCAAGGCTTCTAACCCAGTCTTCAGAATTGTAGTCAGTACAGGCAATAGTGAGTTCCTGCTCTGTGCAAGGACTCATGCCAACCTCCAGCTTTTCCCATAGTGCTCACTTCAACAAGAAAGGCTTTCAAACTCCTTCACCTGTGAACCACAGTAAGAATTTACCTGCAATCTACCCTGTTTACACACTCTCAAAAAAGCAACTCAAAAGTTTGACATAATCTTACAATATATGATAAATTATTTTGTGTGTGTGGGTTTGGGTTTTTTCATTTTGTTTTTTTGGCAGTACTGGAGACTAAACTCCAGGATTGTTCTACCACACTGTACTATATTCCCAGCCCTTTTTATTTTTGAGACAGGACCTAGCTAAGTCTGTGATCCTCTTGAGATAGCCTTGAGCCTGTGATCCTCTTCCCTTAGCCTCCCCAGTAACTTGTAATTGCAGGCATGGGCAGCAATATTCTTCATACTATTCAATTTCATTTTCAAAATGTTTTGGTTGACAGAGATATTAGCGCTTCAGGGTTCACTGCAGCACTGTTCACAATGGCCAAGATGTGGGAACAATCTAAATATTCATCCTCAGAAGAATGGATAAAGAAAATGCAGTATATACGAACAACGGAATGTTATTTAGCCTTAAAAAAGGAACTCCTTCATTATGAGACAACTTGGATGACTGACCATTGAGAATATTATGCTAAGTAAAATAAATCTGTCACAGGACAAATAATGTATTATTTCACTTATATAAGATAGCTAAAATATCTAAACTCCTAGAATCAGAGAGTAGAATAGTGGTTGCCAAGGGCTAAGATGAGGGGAAAATGAAGAGTTGCTAATCCACAAGCATGATGTCTCCATTATGCAAGATAAACAAATTCTGCAGATCTGTAGGACATTGTTCCTGTAGTTAACAACACTTTACTGCATACTTAAAAATTGTTAAGAAGGTAGATTGCATGATAAGTGTTCCTATACAAAAATAAACAGTCTTGATTTTTTGAAGTTTTCAAAATTTCTCAACCCACTATGGATCATGGCCTCAGTGTGAAAAATAATCCTCTAACTCATAAGAGGTGATTACTTTGGTAAGAAGACGGAGGAATAGTTACAGGTATCGACAAATCCTTAGACATGAGATCCCCTAGGGAATGTCACACTTTCTCCCTGTCCATAAGATGGGAGTTGAAGGATATGGGGCATCACTAAAGTGACATTTCAGAAATAAAAAGTAGAGTGGAGCATTTTTTCTAACCATCCAGGCAAATTTCACAACTGTAATCCTTTCCCTGTGACAGGCTACCCATTTCCAACAGACGGGAACACTAGTCTTGAAAAATTTTATACTCCAACCAGAGAGGTGACAGAAAAATCTAATATAATAATAAGTGAGCAGATTTTTTTTTTTTCATTTAAGATAACTTTTCAACCTCAAGTTTCTGTTAAACAGTCAACTCTCCACTCTGAAGGATGCAGATTTGTTAGTGGGGAGGGGTCAAAGGATTTTTTTTTAGGAAAAAATCTAAGGGATAGAAAAGATCATGAAATAAACAGAAAAATACTAGTTAAAGGAGAAGCAGTTCAAGTTTTTAAAAAGCAATCTGTAGCTTTGTATTTCATTTATTATATATAACAGATATCTGGAACATGAAATTTGAAGATCAAGTTTCAACAGTCACTAATGAAAGTTTTCATAGATCTTTGGCACATTCTAATGTAAGAGCAGGGCTATTCGGTCAGCTTATTAATCATGACAAACCATAAGTCTTAATTATTCAATATATGTGCACATCATCATCTTTTCAAGAAGTTTATTACCTGGCTGAAATGCTGTGCCCAATTTTCTCCCCTTTATAAAAGCAAAATACAAGTACACATTACTGCCACTCTTTTTCCCTTCTCTTCATCTTTTGGGGTAGGAAGGAGAAGCAAATCTCTCTCCATGAGTCTGCTGAAGTAGAGACATATGTATGTATCACATGTCAAGGCCCACACTTCACTCTTCTCACACCAGTTCATTCAACCACTACAAGTCACTTACAGTAGGTAGTTCTAAATGTTCTTTCTGCCAACAGGAGAAATACATCTCAAAACTTCTCCATGAATGGAGATAAGTAGGGAAGAGGGTTCTCCAGAGTGAGCTCCTGTGCTCCAACTGTGTTGAAAGTCTGTTGATACAGTTTTATCTGGGACAGTCACTACAAAGGTAGTCCTAATTTGATGTGAAACAGGCACAAGTAAAATTCTAACGTTTTATTGTTCAAAAATGACTAGTTGCACAAGTACCTGATACCAACCATACCAGGCACAAGGTTAAGTCCTAGAAAAACAGGTAAGCAAGAAGCATGGTGTCCCTCCTAAATAGCAGTCCCTCCTCCCAGGGCTGATATTTTCCTGTGATATGGAATACACAAATAAATGTATAAATGCAGATGTTGTAAAGAAATACTGAATTTTAGATTAAAACTGAAGAACTACCAAACACATTTTTTGTATCCTTTTTCTGTCCAAAGTGTGAGAGAACATTTTGTAGAAACAGGAATTACTAGTCATTATTACTTTTCTAATTTAAATCAGCAGAGTTATCTACCAATCTTAGAAACACGAAAAACTAACTTTTTGCAGTTAGGTACTCTGCATTGTTACGGCAGCACTTCCACACTGGGGCCAAGAGTGATAACAACACTGACCAGAAGATAAATTACAGGAGTAGCAAAACATCTACAGCAAGTGCCCAAACCATGATGCAAAACAGACACAGACTTCTCAAAAAGTCTTTTAATAATATGTACTGCATAGTAATGTTTTTTAAAAACAGGAAAGGCACAAAAAACTTTGGCAGAAAAGACTAAATGTAACAATTTTTAACATTGCTGCTTTCCAGATCATTCCAATAAATAATCTTTCAACACTGAAAATCTAAAGATTTTATCTCCAGGCAGAACACATGCTAAAGCGATGAATGGTGAAGTTTAGGTGCAGGACTCAGATCATCCTAGGAAAGCACTGAAGAATCATAACTTTGAAGACTTAAAACAATCCCACTTATGCTTAAACAGGAACCGAAGGTTCCTTCCTCCTTTAGGAAAACTGAGCTGTAACTTGTTCCAATTTATAGCTATAAAGTTGGCGGTTAAAGACAGATAAGTTTAACAAAAACACCTAGATGAGGTAGGGCTGTATGATGTAAGGATGTACATCCTTTAGACCTGACTTCTAAAAGCAAGAGGCCTCCTAGAACAATTTAGTCCCGTTCACATTAATCGCAAAGATGAATTTTGAGATGGGACAGTGGGTGGCGGTAGCCTTCAGTCAGCAGCTACACAAAACTTTTTTGTATACGTATATACACACACACACATGTATATACATACTTTTTCATGCTCACGTCTTCCCAGTACCCAATCCGCATTTCTTGAATGAAGGGGAAGGCTTAAATGAATGAATGAATGAATGAATAAACGAACAAATGAGAGCTGGGGAGAGATGGGAGTCTGGCTAAGGGGCTCAGGCAGGGCCCCCAGGGCCCAGTGGCCCTGCACACCGGTCCGCAAGGGCAGAGGCAGCGCCGGGGCGCAGGACAGGGGACCGACAGAGATGGGCCGGGGATGAGGGTGCGGGTCCGGCCTGGCGGAACAAAGGAGCGCGGTGACCTGGCAGGGGCACCGGTCGCTGCACTCACCTCGTCGCCCCACTTGAGCACGTCCTTGTGCCGGTCCTTGACGGCGTGGTAGATGTGCAGGAACTGGAGGATCCCGTGCCGCCGCACGTGGTCGGCGTAGCGCTTGGTCTCCTCCCAGCTCAGAGGCGAGCCCTGGGACAGCAGCCCCATGGCCGCCCCCTCCTCCTCGAGCTGACGGTGGCAGTCGCTTGCTCCGGGCGCCGGGCGTGAGCCGGACACTCAGCGGTCCGCAGAAGGCGGCGGCTGCTCCACTCAGGGGGCGCCCTCCGGCCGCAGCAGACAGAAGGAGGGTCCTATCCGTTCTGGCTCCCGGCGCGGGGATCCCTGCCGCCCAGGTGACAGAGCCCGGGTCCGGTGCACCGCGCAGACAGAGGCAAAAGGCGGCAGGGCAGTCTCGGCGGCTCTCAGCCCGCTCCGACGATCGCCTGCTTCGGCTTTAAGTCGCCGGTGGCGGCTCCCGATTCTCGGTGCCGGTGTCCTGCACTGGCTTCTTCCTACTTGTGTCCAAAACCTGCGCCGCTGCGGAGCATGCCCAGTCTCCGCGTCCGCTGGCTCGCCGCTCCGGGACGTGATCCGACGTTCCGGATTTTATAGACTGCGGGCGAAGGCGGAGAAAGGAGGCGGTGCGATAAAGGGAGGCGTGGCTGAGAACCCGAGGGGTCGCTATGGGCTGCGGAGGAGGCGTGGCAGGCGTGGCTGGGACGGAGTCTAAGGCGGTGCTCTCGGGAGGCGGGGCGGGGAGAAGGGGAGGAGTTCAGAGAAGGGGAGGGGAGAGGGCGGAGTGACCCAGGCCTCAATTAAGCAAAACTTGATAGTTGAAGAAGATTGATTAAATGAATTAATGAAGAATACACCAGATTACTTTTTAGGTGGAAAAAGTCTCACACCTGTAAGAAGAGGGTGAGAGCGGCAGATATGTTGTGAAAAATATTAATTTGGGGAAGTCAGATGAAATACAAATACAAGTCTAGGTTCCACCACTTACTGACAAAAAACTTTTACCTGTTTAAGATTAAATTAATCATAACTTTTATGGAATCTTTAAGGATTTACATAGTGTAGATATGAATAGAGTTGATTGTCAATAAATCCACCTGGTTATCAGGAGGAATCAATTTGTCTACAAGGTTTTTGACACATGTATATATTTTCATTATTTGTGTATCCTCTATTTGATAACATATTTTCTAGATGGCACAGACACTATTCACTGCATCAAAAGGGGTTTTGTGAACATCTCCAGATAGACCATATGAAGGAACCATTTCCAGATTTATTCTCCATCCAAACCTAATATTTGTCCACCAAGTGATCACAGTGATGTCTACATGAGCTTATCACAGATATGGAAACTACTAGGAACAATTGAAGTTGCCACCTTGCCCCTAAGTAATTGTTCAATAAGTAGTGTTGACAGAAATTATATGACAGGTCAGGGGGAAAGTGTCAGCAACTAGATCATACATGTACTGAGGCCAGAAAGTGTGTATTTATTAGGCCCCCTTCTCTTAAACTATAGAATTAACATTTAATAAGCACTCAATTGCTGAATAACTGTATAACAGGAGTCTTCTTGCAGAGGTGGGAGACAAAGATACTGAAGGTCTGGCTGTGATTTTCACAGTGGGATAGGTGTATGTATGTGGGGGACCGTGTGCATAGCAAAGGTGATGTTTGAAATTAGGAGATGATATTTCAATTCCTAGAGTACAACTGGAATAAAAACCAAGGCTCTTTCTAAGTTTTCCTCAATCCATTCAACAACTACAGCTACTGTCCCAACTCCTTGTAATGCCCTCTCCACCAACCTCACCAGACCTGTGGATGGTCTTGGCTTTCTTTCTGCTCAGAATTTTCCAACCTCACGTATTTCTGCTCACCCGTTGATCCCAGTTACCTCTCTCTTTATTTTAGTTGAATTGTGCATGCCTATATTTGTAATAATGATGAATAATTTTAAAAATATTTAAAAAGAATTTTTAAAATGTCTACACTAGGTAGTGACTTCCTTTGGGATAAAGATGACTTATGCTTGGACATTTAATTCTAGGAAAGTGTCTAGTATACAGCAGGTGCCTAATAAGTGTTAATTTTTTGTGGAATGTTGAAAGTTGGGCTGGAAGAGAAACATGTTTCACCCATAGATTGAGGCATCTAAAAGACTATCTGATCATTCTCATAATCTCATCCTTTCATAGACCTACCTTTATCAACATGACAGCCATGGGCCATAGGTGGTAACTGAGCATCTAATATGTGGATAACATGAATGAAAACTTAACTTTTAGTTAATTTAAGTGATCTAAACATACTTTGAAAATTGGTATTTCATTTGGTAATTGGAAAACTTCAAATTTGGAACAAGCTAGGAATGTGAGTTCACTGAATTTTCAGTGTAAATTTTATGAAATTTAAATGCAAATCAAGTATTTCCAAGGTAAATGTATGGCCCGGGAGATGCACTGAATGTAATACACACAGATTGAAAGACTTAATACAAAAACATGTAAACATTTCATTAAAAAGTTTATTTTGATGGGTACTGCAGCACAGGCCTATTGAATTGCAGCGCCTCCCAAGGCTGAAGCAGGAAGATCTCAAGTTAGGGGCCAGTCTCAGCACTTAAGGAGACCCTGTCTCAAAATTAAAAAACAAAAGGACCGCAGAAATTTTTTTTACACAGATTACATGTTGATACGATAGTATTTAAGACATACCGAGTTAACTAAGATAATTATTCATATTAATTCACCGGTTTCTTTTCTAGCTGTTAAAGGTAGCTACTGAAAAATTTAAGGTTACATATCTGGTTTGCATGCCACTTCGTTGAAACAGCGCTGTCACAGACCTTTACATACACTTGCTGTTTCCTCACAGTGACCCAGTGCAGTCGGTGTCTTAGGAGACTGTGAACTTCATTTTAATGAGGAAACACGGAATTGCGCGGTTCAGTAAAAAGACCAAGTTCTAATACAGCGGAAGTCCTACGCTATACTGAACGAATTAACAGTTAACACTGTTAATTGAGCCTCAGATTCTGGTTCAAACTTACTTAAGGGGGCCTCTCCCAAATTGCCCCTGAATTACTGAACCAAAGCCTATGGGCTCTGGACAACCCTAAATTGGGTCCGGCATTGAGTCATGTCAAATTTAAGTCATGGTCTTCTTAGTACCTTTAGTTATTTCTGTTAAAATAAAAAAAGAAAGAAAGAAACACCACGGATCAAAGGGTCACATTTGACAGTGCTTTACATTTACAGGTCTACTTCTCGAATTCATTCTGTAGATTACTCAGGGCTTCGTTTCGGACACCTGGGAGAGCGTTTTCAGCTGACAGCCGCATTAGGGATTTAACCATTGCTAAAGGGAGATGCAGAAACTCATATCTTGCAGAATCAGATCTTCCCTAGGCCACGATTAAAGATAGATCCAAGGTCATTTCTTCCACGGGACAATACAGGAATCGGTCCACTAGAACCCACCCTGCCTCGTGGTGGTCTGAGTAGCACATCCTCGCCTGCTAGCACCCAGCGCGGGCACAAGCCCCGCCTCCAGGGAACCTGGAAAAACCCGGGCAGTGGAGCCAGACCGCTGGGGAACTGGGCGACCGCGCTGAGCATGCTCGGAGAGCGGGTCTGTCGCGGGAGGAAGCGGCGCGGGCTGCGGGCGCTGCACGCCGCGCCGTTGTTGTGATACAGCCTCCTCCACGTGACTGCGCGGGGCCCGCCTTCCCTGCGCGCGGTGCCTCCTCACGGTGACTCAGCACTTTGTGCGGGCTCGGAGCCGAAGGTCTAACCCAGGGAGGCTGATTTGGGGCAAAGTCTTGGTGGTTATTCCTGCCCCCGGGCTGCGGATGCCTCTATCTCTGTGGTCACACTTCAGCTACGCCAGGCCTCCAGGCAAGGAGGCTCTGTAGTCCCATCGTTACCCATTTCCTCCTCATCTCGGTTTCTCAGAGATCAAATAAGCAAAGCATAGGGATAGTGCCCAGGGGTCTCTGAGGAGGGCATTCCTGGATTAAGTCACTTGAGGCCACCTACCCCTGCCTTACTGCACTCTTTGGCCTGAGTGTACCTTGTCCCTGAATTTTTCTCAGGTCTCAACAAATTACTGTGCACAGCACACCAGCTTCATGCCGGACTCTTGGTTTCATCTGGAATCCAAAGAGCAGTGCTGGCTGTTCTGGATTGCTGCGTTTTCTGGATGAGGCCACCGAGATACTAATAATACTAAGCACAGGTAGTGACCCCTGCGATCTGAACTCAACTGTAGTTTCAAAGCTTGTGTCTTTCTTTTACTCCACAGAGCCTGGATGAAGCTGATGGCCCTTTTCAGTGGAACTCTTACGGGTCTCCAGACCACCTCCATTATAGCTCTCCTTTGACACACCATTTCCTCAAAGCCTGCGAAGTTAGCCTGTGAAGCGTTTCAGATAGTGACTTTATTTTAAATTCTTAGCTGGTAGAAAGTTATTTCTTAAGAGTGCATGGTACTAAACTACAAAAGATATAAATTGAATTATACTTGGAATTTGATCATATTCAAGGAGGTTTCCAGGTTCTTTTAATAGAAGAGCAATAGATTTTTAAAAGGGGTTGGGGGGGTCTTCTGCTCAGGGTTATGATAAGCACAGTTGTGTTTATCATAAGTAAGGGCATCCCTCTGCTCACCTGTTCAAATGAGAATTTGGAAGAGACAAGGTTTGCCAATACTACTGAGTTGAAAATGTACAAGTATTTTTTGCATTGAGTAGTATTTCTAACACATGTTACTGAGATGTGTTATTGTTATTTTAAGTCAGAAGTACAAAAAAGCTTTTATTTTTGAGTCAATTTTTAGTTTATGTGGGTTTTTGAAAAATATAAACACGCTTATTTTCATTTACTTAATAAAGGTCTGTATAGTTGAGTGAAGCCCTTTTAAAAAAAATACAGTAAAAAATGAGTCAACAGGGTACAAGACTAAAGATGTGGGAGTAAGAAATGATGGTTTTAGAATCAAGATATTTAAGGAGACATGACTTGATGGGATTCAGAACTCATTGTCTTCCTATGAGATGCTAAGGAAGAAGATATGGGTGTCAAGAAGATGGGATGGGTTGGGAAGGGTGAAAGCTTAGTTCAGTAGACTTACTCTTCTAAATCAATGGTTATGGAGTATGGTTGAAGAAAACAACTTTTTTATTATGTACATTTCCAATAACAAAAGCAGAGAGAACATAGTGGAATGACTCCTCAGGTACCTATTACCCATCTTTGGAATCATCACATGACTCATCTTGTTTTAGTTATTTACCCTTGTCCCCTCCCCCATTAGTTTAAAGTAAATCTCACTGGGGTAGGAGCTCTGTTATTCTTTCCAATGGTTGAAGAAAGCAGAAAGTAAGAGATGGTTTCAGTAACAGAAATGGAGACCAGGAAAATGGAAAGGAATGATCAATAAGATAAGCTAATGCCTTAACAGAATTGAATTTCCTTTATCCTTGTTATAGTTTGGGTCTGAAATGACCCCCAAAGGCTCATGTGCTAAAGGTCT